GTGGGTGGCGGTCGCATCATCCATGGGCTCGACCTCCCCAACCTCCGCCTTCCATTTGATGAGGAAGTCGGTCAAGCTCTCGCCTTCAAGTTGCTTGGCCTTCTCCAGATACATATAAGACTTCCTCACCACTTTGGAAGTAATAAACTTCCTCACGAACTTGATCGCCAAGGTGTCAAACCTGTCGATCGAACCCGGCTGCAAAGTTCGGAACCATTCCGCCGCCTGACCGGTAAGCGTGGAATAGAAAGCCCTACACATTACGGCGTCTGACACGCCCTTCAGCGTCATATTGCTGTAGAAGTCGTTGACGTGAGCCTCGGGGTTTGTCCGGCCATCATAAGTTTTCTCTCCGGAGACCTTTAAATCAAGCGGGTAGGGCTGAGCCATCACCGCCGCTGTGAAAGGCGTCTGGTGTAGGGTCGGTTGGTCGACTGGGGGTGCTGCAGGGTGCGCGTTTCTGAATTGCACAAACTCCGCCTGGAGGTTATAGAGTAATCCTCGGGTCTCGTTGAGCTCGGCGGCTTGAGCAGCTTGGGCTGTATCCCGAGCGCGTCGCCGTCGGTGAGATCTCGACCCACTATACCCGGATGAAGCCTCCTGGCTGGCCTCCTGCATCTGTACGTCTTCTTGCTGGCGGTTCGGGTCTTGGGGTCCCAAACGCTGACGCATCTCCGGTCGAAGACGATCAAAAGCTGCCGCTCGGGCAGTTTCTTCGGGGTCCTCCGCTTGGACGGGAACCTCGGCCGCTTGCTGGGCCTGCCCTGGTGCCTCCATCGCATCAGCACCCCTCGACCCCAACCGCGAATGAGCCGAGCGTCGAGCCCGGGAAGCGGACTGACGCTGCGGCTCTACCTGTGCGGTCGGGTGAACTGGAGGGGCGGCGGCTGGAGCCGTGTAAGCAGGCGTAAATGGTGGGTACCCAACTGGGGGAGTGTAGTACATAGGTTGGCCAGGCCAATACCCGTACGGCGGAGGTGGGACCGGGTATGGATATTGGCCGGGATACATCACCGGCTGCTGCTGATATGGCTGACCGGGTGTTGGGTACCCCGGTTGAATGTAGTTCACCGGTTGTTGGGCAACCGGGTATGTTTTAGACGGATGCGGTGGTGAGAGATTGAGATTCAGTTCCACCGTTTGACCTTGCTGTTGGGTGGCATGGTGCCCAGATGAACTCGCTGTGTCCGCCTGGTCGTCGGCGAAGTTGTTGTGAGCCCACGGATACATGATTGCGAAGTGATCGGGTGCTCGTCAAGACGTTGCTTTCTCGCACGGGTCCCCACAGACGGCGCCAAAATGATACTGCTAATTCTACGTAAGCAATATAAAATAAACCCGAGACCAATTAAAGCAAGTAAAAGTCTTTATTGATCACGGTAAAGGCCCTAAGTACAATCTACTTGGTTGCTCTGAGTGCCGACTGACTGCGGTCGGGATTCTCTAGTAGCAACCTATCGATCGTCCAAAAGTCCTCTACACTGTAGCTACTGTGGGTATTTATAGCCGCTGTGCCGGGGACAAGAATCCGGCCGTTCGGCATGTTCTCCACGTAGCCACCACGTGTCATCCTCCCGGGTGCCCTATCTGTCGTCGTAAAGAGCTGCCACGTGTCCTTTGTCAGCTCTCTCGCCAATGGGCTACCGCTCGGTGGTTAACACTACTACTCGGGCAACTCCCGGTCAGACCCCGACCGGGTTCTTCACAAAGAGCCCGACCTGCTACCTGCAAAGACAAAAAGACAAAGACGAAGGCACCTCGGTCGTGGTAGAGCTATGGCGGTCGGGATATTCCCTACCAAGTATGATTCGGGATTTGAAAACTTGGTATGTTTTCTAAAGTACAATGCAATTGCATGTTACTTGAAGATGAACTCAATTGATTAATATTCTTTATTGACAATTTGACTAAACTCCCATCTTACATAAAAAAAAAAAAAAATCAGTAGTATTTAGAACTACAGCACGCGTAAAAAAATAATAACAAATATATTTAACAGTTGACACTTACTATTATGTTCAATGCGTAGAAGGCTATCATAATTTCCTTGAAATATACCATATATACAATTTTGAGTTGTAGTACAATATAAACTAACTGCCTCTTCCATGAAATTTTCTTTGTTCCTTAAGCAAAGAGAATAATATACATTAGTCACAGTGTTACAATAATAATAATCTACCATTCATAACCCATGTATCTTACATTACATAAAATTTTCTTTTCCATATATACATTACTCGATATGTATTTGAAAAAAAAAATTGTGTCATTCTCCTACTAATGTCCATATATATTCCACAGTGACACGCGTATTGTTTCAATCACAACAGCAGTACACGTGTAGCATTGCCATTGCCAGAATAAAGGATGGGATTTGGGAACATCAGCGTAATTCCCATTGCCGGAATCTCATTTCCGGTGAGACGAAGCCATTATCTGCATTCATCTACAGCCTTCTGAGTACGCGAAATCCCTATATCTTGAGTATTATTGCTTTCTCTGCAAATCTATGTGTTCTTGTTCAAATTTTACTGTGTGAAATTTCTGATTTTTTAGTCTTCTCTACTGACCAATCGCTAGAAAATTACACTGATGATGAGAAATTTCAGGCTCTACCCTAATTTTTGTTCAATCTGAAAAGTGAAGTGCATGTTCAAATTTCAGACTCTACACGATTGGCTACAGTTATCAGTGGATGTTGTACCTCATTCGGTGAGAAATTCTAAACGTAATAGCTTTGGGGTTTCAGATCTACGTATGCAGCTTTTTTTGTCACTCAGGTATTTGATTTTTGGTTCGGTATATAACTACTGAAAACATCTTTAAATCCTAACTTGCCTGGAAATTTCTCAAATTGTTTTATCTGTTTTAGGTCATGCTATAAGCATTTCAGATCTATGTATTAGGTACCTAAGAAATTCGCTCTCTGTATCTAATGTATGGATTGCATGTTATTTAGCATGGTCTAAAGCTTCACTATTGCTATTTAGTACTTTTTTTTTTTTTTTTTTTGCAGGTATTAACTGAAGAAATGTGTAAGGTTTTGGATTTTAATTGTTTTGAAAATTTACTACCCAAGCATTCTCATAATATACTCTTTTTTTTTTTTTTTTTTTGAAAAATGCTCATAATATTTTTTTTGAAAAATGCTCATAATATACTTGAACCGTATAGAAATTGAAACTGTGAACATACCTGTCCTGTGATTGTTGTTTCCTTTTTTTGCCAATTACGGTTGAACTTGTTAACTTCTTCACTATCTCTTAACTTGCTTACCTCCCGATCAATGTGCTGCTTTAGTTAAGGTCTCTGTGAGGGTATTCTATTTGGATTTATATTGAGGTATTTACCACTTTGCAGGTTGCTATCAATTCTGCATTGGAAATGACATATGAGTAATAAGTGGTATTGTGCTTGGTTTCAATATATTTGTATTTAATATTGCTGTTCAGGAACTTTTTTTTTTTTTTTGTTTTTTTTTTTGATTTATTTGATGACTTTGCAGGTAGCTATGTATTGCGTATCCAACCTTCTATATATCATCAGAACTACTATGTATTTGTACCTTGTGAAACGTCTGCGTTTTGATTGAGCGGGAGATTTTGACCTGATTGTTGTTCCCTAAGTTTATGGTGGTTGATTACAAACTGTTGTTTGAAGTTAGATGCTTTTGTGTATAATGTGAATGATCAAGTTCGATATAATTATGCACATTATATTGAATCATTTCAATTAACTTTGATTGTTAATAGGTCAGTGAACTAATTATCTTAATTATATGCAGGTTAAGAGAATCAACCACCATGTTGTGATGATAAAGTTAGCTTGGATCAATGAAAAGCATTGCATTTGGAGGTAATTCGTTCCACTTGGAGGCAATGGTTTTAGTTGTAGCTCAAGTTTAAGGTAAAGAAATTATAGAAACACAAATGCTTTTATTTAGATAATCCGAGTTTACTACATCACTAAGATACACCATCTATATACTTAGGTACATTCTAACTTCTAAGTTCCCGAAATAGTTCATATCATATATTCCATTGCACAGTCCAGATTCAAGTTCACATTCACCAATATAATATTCTGTTTGTGTTTTTTATTTCTTAGCTAATGCTCTTATTTTACCCTTAATTCAATATCCTTGTTTCTTAGCTAATGCATAATCTTATTCAATATCCTTGTACACATTTATCCAACATTACACATTTATCCAACCCTTTTGCATTAATGTTTTGACTGTAAATAGCATGATCTATAGTAATTAGTATGACTCTTCAATGTTTTGACTGTAAATAGCATGATCTATATATACAGTTGTTCCCATTATTTTGTTATTGTTTACTGATTTGTACATTTTTTAAGCTTTTTGGCAAATGATGAAAGTTTTATTTCTGATGCCATTATTGTACACAGCAGTTGAATGGATGGCAAATGATGATATTTTAATTCTGATGTCAAATTTACTTTATTTTCCAGTAAAATTTTTGTAAGTATATCAAGTTTTGACTGTAAATAGCATGATCTATAGTAATTAGTATGACTCTTCAATGTTTTGACTGTAAATAGCATGATCTATATATACAGCTGTTCCCATTATTTTGTTATTGTTTACTGATTTGTACATTTTTTAAACTTTTTGGCAAATGATGAAAGTTTTATTTCTGATGCCATTATTGTACACAGCAGTTGAATGAATGGCAAATGATGATATTTTAATTCTGATGTCCAATTTACTTTATTTTCCAGTAATTTTTTTGCAAGTATAGAACTTCTTTAAGCCTTTGGCAAATGATCAAGCTTTATTTCCTGATGCAATTATTGAACAGAACAGTTTAACTGATGGCAAATGATGATATGATAATTCTGATGCCAAATTTGAAGTAAAATTTTGGCAACTTCAACAAATTCTTTTAGTTTTTGTTGCTGCCTGAAATGATATCTTAATTTAAACTGGCTGATTTTATTTAATCTTAGGCCAGGCTACAAATGATCTGTTAATTTTAACCTCTGTTAGATATGTGAAATCATTTGTTTAGTTGGCATTTTTGAGATTGATAGCTGTCGCTGTTGAATAGTTTCTTTGAGTAGATTGTATATAGCAATTTTTTGGCCTAAGTTACACATGGCCAATACATAGTAGTCATATCTAGAATTTGTAAACATTGTCTTTCCAGCATGTCCCTTGAATCTTTCTTTATGCCATTCGTTCAGCTACTTTCTTGAATCTGCACCTGAAAAAAAACATAGATAATATAAATCTTTCACATAGAAACCAATAGTTCAAACTTAGATAATGTTGTAGATGTCAAACAGGGAAAAATACAGTTCTGATTATTGTTTCACATCCCACCATTACCAAAACAATTTTTTCAAAACCAAACTACTCTAGGACACATGAAGAGTTTCCAGCTTCACAGTCACCTGTTTATTCTTTTTTGAGCTTTGTGTGGATGATAATTCATCCAGAAGACACTTTTCACTGAATGACTTCCATCAGTGTCATGTTCAACTTCGCTATAGGATATTTGAGATACTACTAATCTCTATCAATTCCATCTCTATACTATTTATGAGTGGTGAAAAATATGAAATTATGTACCTCTGTTGTACCCTTTTATTTCCCATTATTGTATACCTGGTTATTTGCCTGGTTTTTTTAGTTAATGTATTCCTTTAGTCAGGGGTGCTGCACTCAGGTACCTTTTATAGTTGCTTCTTTCTGGATAACAATTAGTGTCTGATCATTCAGAGTAGAGTAAACAGATTAGTACAAAAAAAAGATTAGATTAGTTTATTAAAACAAAAAAAAAAAAGAGATTATTTAGCATATTATTAGTATAATAAATAAACAGATTAGGTTTTCAAAAAAATTAAGCAGATTAGTATAAAGAATAAATAAATAAAAAGATTATTAAGCAAATCAATTCATTTCATTGTGTCATCCATGGTAGGGTAGATGCTATTTATGTGCTTATGCTAATCTAGCAAAGAAAGTAAAAATGGAAGCCAATCAAGTGTATACCTTTCCCATCTAGTTATGGATCAACTCCTTCATCTTCTGAGTATAGGCTTCTCCTCCACTTATAGTTTCATTGGCTTCCATGTGCTCCTGCAACTGCTGTGGAGTAAATATATGAAAAGCTAATTATATTTCTCCCTTTATTTTGTTTTTTACATTTAATCTATAATTTATATTTCTCCCTTTATTTTGTTTTTTCCATTTAATCTATAATTTATAATTTATTTCAAAATAGCAGTGACCAAAAAAATCTCACAAATCTTTCACTCTTTTCACTCTTTACAAATCAACCCCTTTCTCAAGCTTGATAATATACATAAAACAATAGAACATATAGTATTTATTTATAGAACTTACCTTCTCGTTATGAAAAAATTTACCTTCTGGTCATGAAAAACGTCCTCTGATTTGTGATGAAGCTTTTTTGGATATGGAAGTTTCGGCGGTCACACCTCTTACAGACGTCTTTCCGGCGAGTCTGGTATTACTGCTGCCTTGCATGACCTAGTGTTTGTATTGAAGACTGAAACTTTGATAGTCTTTGTATTGAAGAGAAAGTGATGTATATATAGGATGTTTAGATATAATTGCTTCCTTATCCTTAGTTAACGAAAGGACAGAAATCGATTGGTCTTCAATGACTTTGGAAAAACAAATCCGGCTCTTCCGGCTCTTCACCATAAATATTATATGGGAAAATGAAGAGTACCACCGGCTTTAACTTATAAATTAAATCTGATTGGCTTATAAAAAAATCTTGGGCGTAAAAAAAATAGAAACAAAATATTTAGTTTAAATCTTTTTTGGTAACCGATGAGTTACACGTTCTTTTAAGCAAAATGATATAAATATTTGATACTCTTCAAAACGACGTAGTATTGTTTGGGCGGGAATTTTTTGCTCATATTGTTTTACTTTATAATATATATAGAGATAGAGATAAGCCAACACCCACTCTTGCAAATTTATATAATTTTTCTTACAAAGTCCATAACTCACCCTCATTAGCTATAAATTTCGATGAGTTTTTGTAGGTGTGACTAGAAAAGAGAATATGAGAGAGAGAATAGATAGAAAAAAAAAAAAAAACAAAGGAAATTACGTGCCCAACGGACGCGTGGAGTGCACGTGCCCGTCTAGGTGGTGCTTTTAGTACATTTCACACGACAAACACATCAGCCTTTTCAATTTTGGTGGGGCCCACTGTGCAGATAAAAATCAGGTCTTCTGACTAAAACCTTAAATATTTTCTCTCCTCCACATGTGCATCAAAACATGTAAAAAATCATCTAAAATCCACTATTGTGAATGCTCTTGTTTCACTACCTCCCCATATCCCAGATTCCAATATGATATTGCTGCATTATTGTGAAAATTGACATGTTCCAGTGAGAAAGTTTGAGTCACCTAAGATAATGTGTAAAAGTGTAAAATTTGATATTAAGTTTTGAAGTTATGGATTGACTCCATTTATTTCCTCATAAGTTTGATGACAGGTCCATGGATCCATGACATAATCTAGCAAAGTTGAAAAACTTGAGTTAAATCTTTCAATAAAAACATTGTGAGAGAAGAATATATTACATTTCAACTAAAAGTTTAACCTAATAATTGAACCGCACATTATTTATTATTTACATATATTATGTGACACAATCTCTTTTATCGAGTTGTTTATATATATATATATATATATATATATATATATATATATATATATATATATATATATATATATATATATATATATATATATATAGTGTAACATAGTCTCGTTTAAAAGATGTGTTTCATCTCAAACTCAAAACTTAAACTAAAACTAATAATTTGACTGCATTTATATATATTTTTTGTTGAGTAGTGAGAGACTAGATGCTTTGTTTAACATCAGTAATGGCTAAATAAGGGTGTGTTTGGTTCGCACATGGGAATCGGAATCAGAATGGGTATCAAATACTTGGTAATGGTAATGGGTTTTGGTGAAAGTATTTAACATGTTTGGTAGTAGGGTGGAATGAGAATAGTTACTAATAGTAGTGCTTGAGAATAAATAAGGGAATGAAACCCTTATTTTATTTGGGTATGAGTTTTACAATTAATAGGGTATTCGAAACCCATAGTAGTGTTCTAAAAACCTATCAACCAAACAACATCAATCACTTTCATACCCATTCCTATGGGAACCCACCAACCAAACACACCCTAACATGTCCAAGAAGAAAGAGATTGTTATAGGCAACATATAGATGAAAGTAGAAGATGGTGTTGCATGAACAAAGATGATCATCATAACTTATGCAAAAGGGAAACACAAAAAAACAAAGAAATATTTGGCTCATTTGGAAATGTGTTCTTGATTGAAGTGTGGTTATATTGCAATGGGATTTCGTTTGAAGATACAACTAAAATGTTTTAATGTGAGACCAAATAAATGCATATTTACACATAAAACCCATATCAAAAGGTATGAAATCGAATTCCAACACGAAATCGTTTATGCCTCACATCAGACCAACATTAAGAATGTAACCATATTACTAAGATACAAAATGATTTCATTTACATATTAATAGAAAGCAACTATTTGATTGTCGTCTATCCATGTTTAGATCTTGTCTATTCATACCAATTTATATGTGCACAGGGTGTTGGGACAACATCATAATACTCAAACGCCCAACATAGGGAAACAAAAATGACTATGAATGAAGAATGTTGCATTCGTGTAGGAAGCAACTCCTAGGACAAAATGTTTAGTTTCTTGTGGCTTGCAACATAGAAGAAAAACACGTGGCCTTAGTGGATTGCAGTGGGACTTAACCTTTTCTTGATCATATCGAGTGAATCGCAAGTGGTGTCCTGTATCCCTGCTACCAGATAGCTAAGAGTAAGGTTTAGGCCGTGTTCGATAAAATAGTTAGCTTATCAGTAAATTTTGACTTATTTGACCACTATTAGTTGTTTGACTTGGTTAAATAATCAATATGAGTGTTTGATTAATTAACTTTTTGTAACAACTTATTGCTCTAAAATGCTAAAATTCAAAAAGTTACTCAAAGTAACTTTTTCAGTCAGCTTTTTGAGAAAGTCATTTTGTATGTAATCAACTATCAGCTATCAGCTATCAGCTAATTTACCAAACACTTTTCTACAATCAGCTAATGCTATCAACTAGTCAAACCCACTAACCCAATCAGTTAACAGCTATCAGCTAACAACCATTTACCAAACACCCCTTAGTCTTCTTCCTAATTAGCAGTATCCCATATCTCTACTACATGGCTCAGGTAAGATTAAGTCTTCTTTGCTCAAAAATCCTCATCCAAAATAAAAAATATTAAGAGTTCAACAACACAGTACCGACAAAAAGTCCTGTTACATTAACATATTAATGGAAATAAAACATTTGCCTCTTAGTGTGTGCTTAAATCCAACTCTTAATCCCAATTTCTACCAACTTTTATGAACATATCATCGTACTCCGAACATCAAAGCACTGGAACAAGGAGTTAACTACTAAAAATGTATGCCCAAGACAATTAATGAAAATGAGGATGTCATCCTACATCTCAAGAACTCGAGGGCAACAAATATATGGAGCATTATGAGAAGAAGCAAGCAAGTGGCTTTTCTGCTCTTCACTCTAGGCTCCATTATTACTTCCATTACTTTTCTTGACTGCAAATGAAGAACTTTCCTTTTGCATCATAAGCAACTTCCTATTTATACTGCCAAAATACATTCTGGATAGGGACAACTCCAACCAAGTTGTTGAGGCTGTTGACTTTGTAAACACAAAAAGTATCGAAATTGTATATATTCACAAAATTTTGTGTACAGCGTGTGTATAAATCAAGGTGTAGGTATAAGTCTCTGTGTAGTCCTCTGATTCTTCACTATTGTTATCTATTGAAGTGCCTCCGGGATTCAAATAGCGTAGCCTCCGGGATTCAAGTGGCGCGTGCCTCCAGGATTCAAATGGCGTAGCTCCCGGGATTCAGTTGGCGTGATCTTCAATAGCAAATGTCAAGCTTCAAAGCAATCAACCCTGCAAAACATCAAATTAAAGCGCCTGCAATGGCTTCAAGTTGCCTTAAAGATCCTCAAATGCCTTCAAAAGACTTCAAGATCTTCGAGCCAATCAATTCTGCAAAGCTCCAAAGTACCTGCAATGGATTCAAATTGCCTGCAATGGATTCAAATTGCCTGCAAAATCATCAAAAATGCCAAGCGTTATTCAATGCCTTCAAGCTCTTCAAATGCTCTAGTTGTTCTTCAAATGCTCTCAACTCCTCAAGTCTTCAAGTTGTCAAGCGTCGTTCTTCAATGCCTTCAAGCTCTCAAGTCTTCAAGTTGTTTTCAATGTATTTGAGGTGTGATTTAAAGAATGAAATTGAGGCTCTATTTATAGTGAAGTTTGTAACCAAAATCCCTCAACAAACTCCACTAATATTTATTAAATTAAATTAATTAATTATCTACTAAAATGGACCTTGCCAAAATCAAGTCTAGGTTCATTGTTCTATCATCTAATTCAAATTCAAATTAAATTATAATTATCTAATTCAAATATAATAAAATCATATTATATTTAAATTATAATTATAATTATAATTCACTTATGAAATGGGCTTGGACCAATTAATTAATTAATTCAATAGCCCAAATCAAATTTACTTGGACTAATTAAATTAATTTAATTATCATAGCCCAATTAATTAAATTGGACTAATGATCAACCCTGAAATTGGGCTCGATAATGATTTAATCGGTCCACTTGTCGGCTTCAAATTTTCTGTGTCTACAAATTGCCCCCTCGAGACTTTCTTGGACATGTCACTTGAGAGCATACACTACTTGAAAGTATGTAGTGCATGGAAGTCTCGAAACTATATGGTCATTTCAACTCGTGCCAAGGAGCCCTGTGGGATATGAGGTAGTTTCTACTCGTGCCGGGGAGCCTTGAAGTAATATGAGGCAGTTTCGACTCGTGCCGGGGAATCTTGAAGGAATATGAGGCAGTTTTGACTCGTGCCGGGGAGTCTTGAAGGAATATGAGACAGTTTCGACTCGTGTCGGGGAGTCTTGAAGGAATATGAGGCAGTTTCGACTCGTGCCGGGGAGTCTTGAAGAAATATGATGCGTTTTCAATTTTCACATTGAGGAAGCTTGAAGAATATTTCCTCCATCACATATTGTGGTATAATGTGTTGAGACACATTCTTCTCTAGCATATAGGTTGATTAGAGGAATTTTCATCTTCATTCCTTGGTTAGTTGGAGTACTATGGAACCACTTCGGCACGTAATCAACCAATGTGACTGGAACTCGTGCTTTCATATGGTGGCCGCAAGTCCTCCCATCAATAGAGTCCTTTAACATTCTTTTCTTGACCCACCTTTTCATAACTTGTTTAGATGGTCGTGTCGCATCATCAACGTGGTGTTGTTTAGCATTAATACCATGCCAAGTATCATACTCGGGTTTGGTATCATAAGACTTGATGTTAAGAGGGAATAAACACTTGTGTCGTTTTCTATTTCCCTTCACATTGTTCCTCTCAATGAGTAGCGAAGTAGATTTACCGCATGAGATGGAAACTTGATTAGCGCTTGCTGTGGCATCTGCAAGTTCAATTCTCCCATCTCGAGCTAA